CCGCCATCTCTCTCTCTCTCTCTCTCTCTCTCTCTCTCTCTCTCTCTCCCTCTCTCTCTCTCTCTCTCTCCCCCCCCCCGGCCCACCACATCACCGTCCCTTCACCAGTGAGCTTCCGAAACGCTCCCTGGCAGGCCCCGAAACGGGCAGGTTCCCTCTAGCCATCGAAAGGGTCTGATGGCTGGAAACGCACTTTTCCAACCCCCACAGGTTTTTTATTTGTTTTAATTTCTTAAAAAAAATGAAAAACAAAATCGGCAGTGCCGGGGGGTTCCCGACTGCCAGGGGCACCCGCCCATGCCACCAAAATCATGGGGTTGCCCCACCCCTGCGTGGCACGGCGCTCGGTGGTGGGGGCCGCTTTGTACCCCCGTTGAACTAGGGGTAGGACGGGGTTAGGGTGGAGGTAGGACGCCACTCTAGGTTAGAGCGGGGATCCCCCGTTCTACCGCTCACCAGATACTCAGCCCAGAACCCACCGTCCACATTGGTGGAGTCGTGGCATGGGTCCTGAACAACAGCAATTTCGTCAAAACGGGCATATTTTATTTTTTGAACGAAATTGGAAACTAAAAAATTGGCCCGATTTAGGTCGATATTTTCAGCTCCAAGGGGTACGGCGTTCTGAAAACGCCCTACTGCCTGGATGCAAACTAAGTCCAGATACATCCAGGAGGGAACGGCGTTTTCAAGGGGTACGGCATTCTGAAAACGCCCTACTGCCTGGATGCAAACTAAGTCCAGATACATCCAGGGGGTACGGCGTTTTCAGAACGCCGTACCCCCTGGACTCCAGCTAAGTCCAAATACATTCAAGGGGTCCGGCGTTTTAAGAACGCCGGACCCTCAAGAGCTTGAAATTTCCACCTAAATCTCTCTAATTTATGAGGTTTCAATTTCGTTCAAAAAATAAAATATGTCCGTTTTGACGAAATTGCTGTTGAACTATCTTACACAATACCTGCAGACTGACATTTCAACTTGAAGGCAGTTTCGACGCTGACAACTGCATTGTACATTCTCAGCCATGAGATGTGTAAGATGGACTTCCACCAAGTGGTCTTTCCATCGTACATTATTGAAGATATGCTCAGCTTAATTCCTCATCAGGATACAATGGAGGCTGTGGAGTGGATTTTAGATTACCACAGTTTGAAGCAGCGTACCTTTTTGCGGGGTAAAGCAACGGGGGAAGGGTGCATCCTTTGGACGAATGACTGGGAGTGACCACTGGCGACATTTAAAGTTTGGGGAGATTCTAAGTTTCCTCCGTTTCCAATTGTCTCATACTTACACTCTTGCTTTGTCTGTCTTGTTGCAGCAGCAGGTCGGAATTCCTATGAGGAAGAGCACAACTCAGTCTACTTCTCCACTCTGTTGTATCATGTGTGCACTTGCACAATTTGGTTTTCTGCAAATTCTGGGGTCAGCAAGGAGATATGTGTCAAGGGTTCGTCTTATCGTTGATGTACGGGTGATTGTGGCTAGCAAGGCCTCATCCCGACTCCTGAATTCAGCACCAGACCTTGTTTAAGCAATTCGGGAGTTGTTACAGTGAGAATCGTTCCTTGAAAAGAACTGACGATGGAACGGGTAGCTGGGAATTCCTCGGCTGTGAGATTAAATTTATGCTAAGAATTACTTCTTGTTCATTCAGTTGGTTCAGTTTTGAAAGAACGAGGCTACAATTTAAGAGTATTGGCTTTTCAAAATAATCAGAACTGAGCCGAAGTCACTAGCTGACTGTCATGTGGCAGTCTACAATTTAAGAGTATTGGCTTTTCAAAATAATCAGAACTGAGTCGAAGTTACAAGCAGACTGTCATGGGGCAGTAGGTTACAAAAAAGCGCTGTTGTCACTAGCCCACTGCACAAAATCGATAGGAATACCTTGTTGAGGACTAAGATTGCAGAACGGGTGAGAATGGTTTTTCTCATGTGTCTTGGAGCGTTTCGCCCACGGGTCA